TTTTCAGATGAGGAAAGTATGAGGTTACACAAGTAGTAAATAGTGCAGCTGGTGTTTGAATACAGACTTTTTTATTTATTATTATTATTATTTATTGTGATTTGGGTGAAGATTTACAGAGCAAATTCACTTTCCATACAGCAGTTCACATATACTTTGTCTCATGTCATTGACCACAGTTTACCACAATGCAACAGCTCCCCTCCCACTTCCTCCCCATAGTTACTTCTTCCTGTGACCATCCCTCCGTACTCTCTTGCGCCCTGAGCTGTCTCCCTGTACATAAGCAACCGTTCCTTCTCCCATGATTGTTCCCTCCAGGGCATGTGTCTACTTGAGGTAAATGTTTAACTCACATGCCTGTACTTTGTTTGGCTAGAAACCACAGGTGTGGGTTCAATTCCAGACCTGAAGGGCAGCTAGGGGCCATAGTCTCAGTGGTTCCATCAGGGCTCTATTGGACCAGCAAACCTGGTCCCCACCATCTTTATTATTATTTTTTTTGTCCCTCCAAATGATTTTGAGTTTTTTTCCACATTGTTCTTCCTCTTTAATCCAGGATCTCCTACATCCCTTCCAAGTGGTTGATGGTGGTAGCTGGGCACCATCTAGTTCTTCTGGTCTCATAGTTGTATAGGTTGCAGATCAGATGGTGTACCAGTCGCTAGGACTGATTGTTTCCATTAATTTTGGTTTTCTTCTTTCTTCTTTGCTCTTGACAAGGAAAGACCCATCGTTGCATCTAGATGGCAGCTTGCTAGCTTTTAAGATCCCAGTCACTACTCGCCAAAGTAGGAGGTGGAACAATGTTTTGTATAGTATGTTATGCCAATTAAGCTTGATGTCCCCTGCGACTATGGTCCCAAGCCCACAGGATCAACTACTCGGTTGCTCTGGGTAGCTGGCTGTGACCAAGCAGTGACCACAACCTTGCCCCTTGAATACAGACTTTTAAACACTTATGAGGCTTTCTTTTCCTTATCTTCTAAGACATACTGATCCCAAATCAGATTTTAAAGGGATAATCTCATGTTTGTATCTCTCCTATACCATTAATTAGACAGTGATTTTTGGTGGGTTTTATTGTTGAGGAGTTTCTGGCTGGTACAGACAATTAAGCACTTTGCCGCTGACCAGAAGGGTGGCAGCCTGAACCCGCTCTGAGGCACCTCGGAAGACAGGCCTGGTGATCTTCTTTTGAAAGGTCACTGCCTGAAAAATCCTGTGGAGCAAGCAGTTCTAATCTGTACACATGGGGTTACCATGAGTTAAAATTGACTCGGTTACCACTAACGATGACATTCATTGTTGACTTCATCCTCTGTGAATACATCTCACGTACAACATTTTACAACGTGTTTCTTCACCCCTAGTGTTCAGATGGTTGCTGCTCGTTCACTGCCATCAAATCTAATTTTAAGGTATTTTTCCTTTAATTTCTTCCTAATTATCATTTAATGTTTATAAATAGACTGAAAAAGAGAGTATCTTTACATTTTTGCATATTTCAAAGCTATCCTTGCCAGACATTTGCACAAGATACACTTTTTAATTAGCCATCTTGTGTGTCCCAAAGAAAGTATGTTAAGATGATACTTCAGTTTAGCTGTTTTGGTAAGTATTAACTTCTCATATTATTAATTATATATTGTGGTTATATGAAAATTCTAATTCCACATTCAAATGACTACCAGTGTTTTTTGTCTTAGAAAGGTACTGGTTTTTAAAGCCATTTTCATCTTTAAATTTGATTGCTAGTTTTCAGTGTAAGTAATAGATGAATTTGATTTTCTGAGACACCTGGTAAACAAATAATGATGATTCTGTGTCATAAGTCTTAAGATAGTGAAATACATGAGAATTCAGTGAAAACAATACTCCTTACACTGGGACTTAACATTTTAATGGTATATATTTTCTTAAAAGAAGGAATTAGAATTGGCATTGTTATGGTTTTGATTGTGTATCAAAAGTTTGCTTTAGAAGTATTGCCTGTTATCGGTTATTGTCGTTTGTACCAATATGTAGTCTATACTTTTTTTTTTTAAACATGACTGTTTTTTTTATCCCTTGCTTACTGATTATGTGGTGCATTCTTCTAAGTGATCTCATTTGATCATCACAGGGGTTTAGATGGGCATTGTTATTTGTCAGTACTAACAAGAGTAGATTTTTCTGACCTTCTGAAAGGACTCTGATATCACTCTTTGTATTAGATTTGGTATTTTGTGGTTTTTTATTTCTAAATATGTAAAAATGAAGATTTCATCTTTCCATTGCATTTCTAGTCAGTGCAGCACTCAGTCAAGTGGGATATCTTATTGTGTGTTCCCAAAATTCAAGACTTATGGAAAAGGGGACCCATTGCTGTTGAGTGGATTCTGACTCCTAGTGGTCCTGTAGGATTTCCAAGGCTGTAAATATTTACAGAAGCAGACTTCCTCATCTTTGTCCCATGGAGTAACGGTCGGTTTGAACCTCTGATCTTTTCATTAGCAGCCAAATGCGTTCACCACTATGTGGAAAAGGGGAAGGGGACATTAAAGTGTAATACAGAATCTCTCATGCTAAAGAAACTTATACTTTCTAAATTGAGAAAGATTGAGACTCTTTTCAAGATCTTTATTATTGAATTGGCTAGAGGAGCAATGGGAGGGGTGTAGCCTAAGCCTCCCACAGGTGTCCATTGAATTCAGTTTACACACTCAGGCTTCAACATAGGGACAAAGAAGTAAGTAAGTAGGTATTGTCACTGCTCATGTAACATCCCTAATTTCAGTTTCAGTTCCCAAAACAGGAACCTTTTAAAGCCTGGTTCTCCTCTTGGATGTGGCTGTGATAGATTTGATGTCTGTGACCCTTCTTGACCATGCCTTGCCTACTGTTAGTTCCCCTGATGTATAGCTCATTCACAGCATGGAAGCCATATGTATGTGAATTGGGCATTAAAGCACCATCTGAGTAAACAAGATTAATATCAGGTTAAAGCTGTTTTTTCAAGACATTTTCCTTACAAATAGTGTTCTTCACTTTCCCAGCCTATCTCTTCTAAGGATGCTTTACCTCAGTTAGTTCATAGAAAGGATCATTGTCATTGGTCCACTCCTTTATTTTCCTTCATGAAGCAAACATTAATAACAGTGTAACAAAATAGGAAAACTTCCACTGAAGACTTCAACTTTTTATTCCTTCCTTTAGTCAAAAGATTGAATTTCAAATCAACATGTCCTTTTATTTCCCATGATTCTTATTTTCTACACTCTTAAGGCAAGATAATTAAAACAAAATAACTTAGAACTCTGTAATACTAGTAAATAACTAGTAATAGAAAGCTGTGGTGTAGCTAAATATATTAGGTTCAGAGGAACAAAGAAAGCATTAGAGGGGTGGTCAAATTGCATTCAATGTGAACAAGGATGACTTTTTTCTGGATGAGACTGTGGTAGGAGCTGATATGCTGGGATAGGCAAGCATGTGCTGCATCTGGGCTCCTGGGACTGGGCTCCCCTTGTTGGGGTGGACTGTGGATGCATGCTGATCTGCAGTATTAGAGAAATCTGCAAATCTCAATGGTGCAATCAAATCTTGGAGCCCTTGAATGCCATGTTTGGGAACTCAGCCCTTGAGTGCCATGTTTGGGAACTCATGTTTTACTGTATCAGCAGAGCAGTGTCATTCAACCTTATTGAACTAAAAAAATGAAAGATTAGAAGATATTTGAGGGAGATTAAAGTAACAGCTAAGGATGGATTGGTGTTAGATATAGGCAAGGAAATTAGTCAGTCTTGTTATTCTAGAATTCAAGGTCTGACACTGAAGTAGGAAGTTATTTTGGCAGGAGAAACTTAGGCAGGAGACATTTTAGAGGAAGAATTAACTGGATATGGCAACAGATTAGATTTCTGGGGGTGGAAGGCCAGGGAAGGATCAGAAAAAGGGAATTTAGGAATATGGAAGAATAGTGGTATCATTGATAGTGACTGAATGTTTGCAGTTGACTGTGAAGTTGGTTTTTAAGCATGTTGAGTGCAAGATAATGTTGCCTGAACTTCCAAATCATAATGCCCATCAACCTTAGACTCTATGAAGTGTGGAGCTGGAGATTACTGTGACTTGGGAACTAATTTGCCTGGATATGGTAATTGTAATGCCAAGATACTGAGAGACTGATTGTGTCAAGACTATTCATTTAAACATTCTGTGACCGGATATGTTTTGGATTGTCAAGATATATCAGTTTAATCTTTCAGACTACTTTTGTATTGTCATTCGAATGATGAGTGCATAGAGTGTTGACTTAGACCTGATTTAATTAAGCCTTTATAGGAAACTTGTTATATAAAAGACTTTGATAACTATATATTCATGACAGTTAGGATCCTAATGGATTAAAGACAATCTCTGAAATTCTCACCTAAACACAGTTGATAGGATGGTATTTTTGTTGTTTGTGATGTGATATGGAAGAGAATGTTCATTTACTCCTGAATTAGTATTTGGTTAACTTGTGAGCACATGTTTCTGGATAAACATGAATGTGATTAAAATCTTTCTTGGAGAAACTTCATCTCCTTCCATTGGGTAAAGTGTTCTAATCACAAAGTCACTAACTACTTTTGTTCCATACCTACCAGAGTTTTCAGCCTGACAGACCTTTCAGATTTCAGCTCATTGATACATCCTTATGATGGGTGGGTTATCCTTCTATCGCAGGCATCCTTTCAGATGCACACACTTTCCTTTTAGTTCTGGTCCATGGTTGCTGGTGAACTCTACAAAGTATGTCTTCATCTTACTTTCCCATTTCTAAATGTGAATATATAGGTTGCCACCTCCACTCAGAAGAAATTACCACTCACTGTATGTTTAAAAATGTGAAACATTATCCTCAGTTATGTAATGAATAAATACTCATGTCTGGTCCATTCAAGGTTTGCCTAGATGTGATTTCTATGGAGCTGCTGAAATACTTAAAGTACTCCAACCCTGCTGTGTTTCAGTGCACCTGTAGGAAAGACATGGTGAAAATTTCAATGGACATCTTTGTGAAGAAATTTCAGCCAGACAGATACCAGCTTTGGAAGCAAGGAAAGGATATCTACACCATCGATCACACAAAGCCTACTCCAGAATCCACCCCAGAAGTCAAGGCATGGCTGCAGAGGAGGAAGAAGGTCCGAAAAGCATCCAAGAGGTAGTGACCCCTCCCCAACCATCCCTCCCCCAACATCACACTGTATTTGCGCCGATAAAGTCTGTCATTGAACACGATGTTCCCAAAGCCAATCTGTTTGCTTTTTCCCACTTATTCATCATGTATTTACTTAATATTTTACTAAAAGTTTGAGGTAAAATATTTTCAATTCTTGAGAAGTATAATAAATAAATAGTTGTAGGAAGAGGAGTATATTGTGTTTGACAGTGGAATGTTTCTGAAGTCACTATACATGGCAAATAGAACAAATAGCTTCTTTACTGTAACATATTTAAAATCATATTGGTTCTTGCTATTCATCTCCTTTTTTCTATCAACTTCACTAACTTGATTTCCAATGTTTTCATTCTACTACTGATTTTCTTTCTGATGTGAGTAGTTCTTGTCTTCATTTGTGAAACATACTGTTTTTCTCATCTAGGTGCCCGTATTTTACCACATTTTATACACTTGATTTTGTTCTCTTTTGCAGCATCCTTTGTAAAGCAGTGTGTGGTGTCTCTGAGGCATAGTGTCCCTGTGAATGTCACCCTCCATTCCATTTCTGTAGCAGTGCCATTCCAGAAGCTTTTGAGCCTGCTGCGGGCATCTTGGGTTTACCACTCACTGTATGTTGAGTAAAACTATTTCACGACCAAATTATTTTCTGCTTTGACTTTTTGTTGAAAACATGCATTTTGAAGGCATTTTTAGTAAAATGAAAAAATTTTTTTTGAGTTCGTATGGATTTTGATACAATTAGCAGGACACAAATGTCCTGGAGGGTCTCTAGTACTGAGGTTGGTGGGATGAGGCTTGTTTCTTCAGATTCAAGCTGTCATATAGGCTCCCACCAGATGGGAGTATGCACTAAAAGTGGGATAGAAGCTTCCCACTAACCCCAGAGGCTGAAAATGTAGGTTGGCACTATATGTACCATGGGTCATGAAAGAGTTACAAACCCATTGAATAGGACGTGTTGTGTTGCTCAGGTCCTTATGCTGCCCTTTCCTTTTAAGCTCTTATGTTTTCTAGTTTATATTTTTTCTCTTCTATATTAACCAAAGTTTTTCTTTCTGATTATAAAAGTAATAGTATTTATGCATTGAAGAAACCTTGTAAAATAAGGAAAAGAATAATGAAGGCATTCTGAATCACCCATAAGCTCGCTATCCAGAGACAACTAGTGTTAACATTTTGTATATATCTTTTGCATGCATACATACACACACACACACACACACATATACCATACATATACACATACACATAATATATAACATTATGCACCTTTCCAAGACTGGGACTATGCTCTATTAGCAATTTGAGGACCCCTTTTGTGAGTGTACTTTGCTGTAGTTAAGTGATTTGCTACAACATAATTTTTAGTGCCTGCCTGTATTTAACTAGTCCCCTGTGTTTGTATGTATAGCTTGTTTCTCATCTTTTGCATTTACTTATTAACACTGATTTTAAGTTTGCCACACTCTGACACTTATTTTCTGACTCCCCTCCCCCACCCTCACCCCCAGCACATATTTTCTACTATTTTAGATTAGCAGTGAACAAAGGCTTTTTAAGGACATAGAGTCATATTTCTCTACTTTATAAGAGATTTCTCACTGAAAAACAGTCTCTTGTGGACAGAAATAAAGGTCAGTTTTTGATACTTCACCCTATAGTTTACATCAGTGATTTTTAAAACAGTTTTCAAATCAATCTAGTGGACCAGGACTGACATTTTAAAATTAGGAAGTAAAATAGAGTAAAATGTAGCATAGCGTGTCTCATGTGATACAGATAAGTACTGATTCATGACATGTGAGCATGTGTGCGTATGTGCATTGTGTCACCATTGGAAATGTACACCTTACTTAGGGGTTACATTATAAAAGATTTTAGAAACACTGGTTTAGAGGGTCAATGTCTTTGACAAATGTCTCAATATCCATTACTAAAGAAGCCAGCTTTGGGAGGGGGAGGAGGAGTCAGTCTTGAGTTCAGAAGAAAATCAGCAGAGCATCTTGAGAATTGCTCTTCAACTGACAGAAATCCCAGTGCTCTCATTAGGTGTGTGATCTGCTTTCCTAGGTATTAACCAAAGGGTCCTTTGGGGTGATAGAGATGATCTATGACAATTAACAGATCAGAAATGGCCTTTCATTAACTAAAACAACAGACAATGCTCACTTAGTTAGAACGGCTTTTTTAAAATATGCTCAGCCTCATGGCTTGATCATTACAGATTGCTAATCTGTAGCATAGTGGCTAAGACACTTGCCTGCTAACCAGACGGCTGGCGGTTCAAACCCACCAGCCACTCCTCGGAAGGAAGGTTGGGCAATCCTACTTCCGTAGTGATACTGCCTCGGAAACCCAAGGAGGGGTCGCTATGAGTCGGGGCCGACTCGACGGCACATAACAACAACAACAACAACAATCTCCCTTAAGTAATCCTCTGTCTAGGAAAATCTAATGGAGGGAATAACCCATTGAAACCTAACAGAGATGCCAGCCATCTTATTTTATCTGTGGTTAAGTGATCAATGGCTAACTGAGAGGTCATCAGTTCAGGCTCACCAGTGGCTCTGCAGGAGAAAGATGAGGCAGTTCTACTCTCCCATAGTGTCATTATGAGTTGGAATCAACTGCATGGCAACAGATTTTGTGCTATAGTTGGTCCACATAAATTCTTATTTCCAGTGATGATGGTGTTGATGCTACTAATGCTATTACCCTCATCGGCAGCAGCTGTCAGTGCTAATTGACATAGCTTATTCCTGGCTACCTCCTTCATCTCTGATCTCTGCCCTCCCTAACTTCCTACAGTGCTTAATGTTGTGCTGTTTCTTGTGTGTGTGTATTACATGTGAGTTGTGTGTTTATGTGTGTTTTGGATACTGAAACACATGCTGGTTTCATTTGTTTTGTAACTATTTCCAGAGGAAAGTACTAGAAATGCTGTACCATATACAAAATGGCATCTATGAGAAAGCTGTCAAGTGATAGACTTGCTGGAAAATGCTAAAAGAGGAAAAATAAAAATGGTGCCCACTCTGAAGACAACGAGTTGATATTAAATATTAAACACAGTTAATCTTCTTCCTCTCTTAATTCCTTTAGATAATGATGGTTTGGCCAAGGCTTCAAACAGGTTCATTCCAGTACAACCTCCTGCTGAGAATTTGCATTTCCACCCCAGATGGATGGAATCAGAATCTATGTTTTAACAAGATCCCCAGGTGATCCTTATGTACACATAAGGATCAACTAGACGTAAGGATCACCTGGGAATCTGTGGCCAAGTGGCATTTACTCTTAGGATTTCATGCATGCTTGAGAATTATAGAAAAGGCAAGAAAAAGTAGTCAGTTCACTTTGTAATGCAAATAATTTATTCCAATTTTAACAACAGCTTTAGGCGATCTCCTGGTTTTCTTTTCCTTTCTTCATTGCCCAAATCACATTTTATTTATGGATTTTAGTTCCTCCCCATGTCATCAATTTTTACTTTATTTAACCACAGACTTCTTTCACTGTTGTCATAAAATTTTAGCAAGGACTTTTTCACCTTTTTTTTCAGTAATGTTTAAAAAGCAATAATTTACAATTGTTTGAATTTTACTTTTTGGTACCTTTTTTTTTTTTTTTTTTATTAGGATTTGGGTGAAGATTTACAGAGTAAATTCACTTTTCATACAGCAGTTCACATATACTTTGTCTCATGTCATTGACCAAAATTTACAATGCAGCAGCTCCCCTCCCACTTCCTCCCCATAGTTACCTCCTCCCAGTGTCCATCCCTTCATACTCTTCTGCACCCTGAGCTGTCTCCCTGTGCATAAGCAGCCCTTCCTTCTCCCATGATTGTTCTCTCCAGGGCGTGTGTCAGCTTGAGGTAAATGTTTAACTCACATGCCTGTACTTTGTTTGGCTGGCAACCACAGTTGTGGGTTCAATTCCAGACCTGAAGGGCAGCTAGGGGCCATAGTCTCAGTGGTTACACCAGGCTCTATTGGACCAGCAAACCTGGTCCCCACCTTCTTTTTTTTTTTTTTCCTCCAAATGATTTTGAGTTTTGTTCCACATTGTTCTCCCTCTTTATGCAGGATCTCCTACATCCCTTCCAAGTGGATGGCAGTGGTAGCTGGGCACCATCTAGTTCTTCTGGTCTCATAGTTGTATAGGTGGTACCTTGTTTTTTAAAACTATTGTTAAGATAGATTTCAAAGTTAAATGTATCAGTTGTGAAGATTGCCTTAGCAAAATGGTTAAAACATTGTCTATTTTCCCTTAAGTCAGTGAAAATAACATTTGTACTGGTGTGTACTTTATCTCATCCTTTGTAAACATTCTGCTCTGACTGTGGATTATCTTGTAGCTTCCAGTGCACGAGGTCTCACCCTAAAAGGTCTAAAACTGAGGAGGATGAGGAAACCTCAGCCATTGCTGATGGGGCCAGATTCCCGACACCTAACCCAGCCACAGACCAGCTCAAGGTCAGTGAAAACCCAGAAGCAGCTGAGAAGCTGAGTGAGACAGGAGCACTCTCTGAAGAGATCTATACTGACAGGATGCATCCAGATCAGGACTTGTCACATAACATCAACCTTTCAGGTGAGTAAGTGGCTGACTGTGCTTCTCCTACAAGTGATAGATGACCTGATGCCTGAAGATAGGTGTCTTACTACTGCAGGTAGCTTAACCAATAAGCTATTGAAAATTAGAGGGTAACTCAATGGGAAGCCTGAGGCAATGGTACAAAAGTTAGGAGCAGCACTGCTACATGGAATGGAATTGGAGCCATCAGTGCCTGTATTTGGTTTAATAAAAATGAAGATTCTGAAATTTAAAAAAGTTTTTATAGTGCAACTCAGTTTACAATATATTCAATACACGTTCAGAAAGCTTCTCTGGAATTCACCTGGAACAGAGAAACACAATTACAGATAGTTCTTTGAAAATTCTTAGCTTTTGGCTTAATTTTAAGAAGATGATAAAAGATTAAGGTTTTAAAAAAGAACAACAAAAATAAAAAGTTAATCTAGTGAAGGGTCCTTTATCAAAACTAAAACCCATTGTTTCTGAGTCTTAACTACTGTCCTTCTTCCCCTTTTGTAGCAAGTTTCTCAGAAACTGCTTTAATGCTGTGCCTCTTTGATATTTATTACAGCTTTCCTCCTCTCTCTAAATGAGGTTATTGGAAATGTGTGTCTTTCTCTCACCCAGTACACCAGTAAATCCTTCAGTCTTTGGACTGTGCCCGGATCCTATCACCTCTACTGCTTCCAACCCTGTTTAGGACATCCACATCTCTTGCCTGCTTTATTACCAAACCTCCTTCCTATTTTCCTGCATCTGCCCTAGCCACTCCTGCTAGTCAGTTCTCCATATGGGAGTTAGAGTGACCTTTAGAAGAAGTTGATGGAGTCTTGTCTACCTTCTTCTTAATCTTATTCCTTTTTTTCAGAAATGATAAAGTCCTTATCATGGTCCTAAATAATCTGGTCCTAGGCTGTTTTTCTATCCTCATTACCTTCTACTCTCAAAATATCTGTGTAAATAGAGTTTAAATCATAAACTTTCTTTCAGGGAGTTCATTGTACTTTGGTGGAGAGCTAGATAAATAAACAGATAATTATAATCCAGTATTGACTGCTAACCAGAAAGTTGGCTGTTCAAACCCACCAGCCACTCTGCAGAAGGAAGACTGGACAGTCTACTTCCATAAAGATTTACCACCTCAGAAACCCTGTGGAGGTCACTATGAGTTGGAATTGACTCGATGGCAGTGGGTGTGGTTTGGGTTTATGGTTAGTACCATGGTAGAGATGGCACAGGGTATTGTTGGTCTTCCTAGGAAAAATCCCACACAGAAATAGGAGGCTGGACAGGAAAAAGTTCTTATAGTAGCTGGTAGGTAAAATGAGTTGTGATAAGTAAATAGATATTATTAGCAAGATTGATAAAGTAGGAAAAGGAATTCCAGACAGCACAGCACAGAGAAGGCAGTTGTACAATCAAAACCAAAAAAAAAAAACAAAAACCAAAAAACAAACCCAAACCCTGTAGTACTCTGTTAGTGAGGATTTGAATTTAGTGTAATTCATCAGGAATGCTTGTTTAAGAACTTGGTTTTCCCACCATCTCTTGCCAATCTACCCACTCCATCAAGTCAATTCTGACTCAGAGAGACCTTACAGCACAGAGTAGAACTGCCCCAAGTGTTTCCAAAGATACAATCTTTACAGAAGCAGACTGCCATTTCCTTCTCCTATGTTGTTCTGGTTGATAAAAACCACAACTTTTTGAGTTAGCAGTTGAGAGCTTAACCAGGGCTTCCCATTTGTATGATACATATGGGTGTTTCTTTCTAGTCCCTCACATTGGTCTCTACCACACTTGGTTTATTTAATTTCTTTATGAAATGTTTTATGAATTTAGGCTCAAGGGGACCCAGTTTCATTAGTTCTTTCACTACATGGTTCCTTGCATTTTGACCTCCAGCTTTTGAGACCTGGCAGAGTGCTTAATTTAAAAGCTCATCCTCTTATGCTCGAGTCCAAAGGGGACTTGGCTAGGCTTAGCATCAGAGCAAGTATGTGAGGAGTAGAAATGCTGCTGAACATGTGTGCATGTGTGTGCATGTAGGAAATGGAGAAGGTGGATACAGATGAAAAGGGAATACAAGTGCTAGGATGTTCCTCCCAGGATCTTCTCCTGTCACATGCTATTAGTGTTACAGAGTTAGTGCAGGAAATAATTATTGCATCTGCATGGCTTTCGTGTGTCTTTTGAGCTTAGATGGTTCATTAGTAGCAGCTCTTAGCATCATGTATTGGGATATAATCTTTATTTTTAGAAATAATTCAAATTGCCATTGCCTAGGTAAATTATTGTTATTGCCCTGGCTTATGGAAATGCTTGGTGTAGACCCTCTTTTTGATTCTGTTTTGTTCTTTTTTTCCCTATCACCAAAGTCCAAAGCTTTCCCTTAACAACTGCAAAGGCAGTGTGATGCTTTTGTGACTTTTCATAATCATATCTTTGAAAGTTTTGTGCAGGTAGGAAGGTTCATATTTAATTGAAAGTAGTTTTAAAACATTCTGCTTGATAATAATATAGAGGAAGATCTCTTAATGGTCTCGTTTGACTCCTCAGGGAACAGCTGTTCCAGCCCATCAATAGCAGAGGGAATAAAAACTGAGGAGGACAAGGCCTGCACCACAGCGGCACCTTCTAACCCCAGGGAGGCTGATAATGCCATAGCATTGTCGAGTGGCTGTGCAACGTCTGAGGAAGCAGACCCCACAAGCCTTTCATGGCCAAAGTCACCCGAGTCGAGTTCCTCCACAGCAGAGACTAATGGAGTGTGGACAGAGGGAGAGGAAAGTGATGTGGAAAGCCGTGGGAGTGGCCTGGAACCTGGGGAAGTCCCGGCGGTCCCCAGTGGAGAGAGAAATGGCTTCAAAGTCCCCCATGTATGTAACAATATCAGTTATTACTGAATTCATTGTGTGGTCAGAGTGCTTTCTGCAAACAGCATGCTGCGCCTGAAGTCTTGCTTTTGGCAAAAATAAATAATGTTTCACACATATGAGTCTTAATCATGTTTCCTTAGATGATTAAGAGGTCAGCCTTCTGCAAACTCTTGCTCACTAGTTGATAATTCAGAGAGTGTGAAACTCCAGACTGCATGCTGAAGCTTCATCTTCCTTCTTTTAAAAAGTTTTTTAAATTAAACGTTGTATTTTGAGATAATTGTATATTCACATGCAGTTGGAAGCAATAGTACAGGGATATCCCATATATCCTTTATCTAGTTTCCCCTGCTAGTAACATCTTGCAAAACCATAGTGTAGTATCATAACCAGGATGATGACATGGACATAGTCCAGGTTCAGAGCGGTCCCATCCCCTGCAGGATTAACTGGGCTAGGAAGGACTCACCCACAGGGCTCTGACTTCCCACTGTTAACAGCTAATACCTCTGGGTCCCAAGCTTCCCACAGCATCTGTTTTCTTATTGGGGCTCACTAGGTTACTCTCTCCTCATGGATCTGAGTCCTAATACCAGGCTGACCTTTCTGGGGCTGTCCACTTCTACACTGTACATTATTCTTTAAGATAGATAATGTATCTGTCCTTTCAGACAGAGTCAAGAGCCCTCCTTTTTTTTTTTTTTTTTTAATTTTACTTATTAGTGGTCATTGCTGAGAATATACTCAACAAAATGTATACCAGTTCACTGTTTTCTGTATCTTTATTTCAGTGACATTGATTACATTCTTTGAGACATGTAACCATTCTTACCCTTCTTTTCTGAATTCCTCTTCCCCAATTAACGTAAACTGACTCCTTCCTGTTTGTCATCCAATCTTTTGATTTGCTGTTGTCAATTTGATCCCATACAGATAGATTGGAAAGAGCACAATGATGAAGGCAGATATTCTTGACTAGATAAGCTAAACTGTTGTTTGGTTTTAAGAAGAATTTGGGGAATATTTTTGGTTTAAGGTTTAAAATTTATCTCAAAGCAATAGTTTCAGGGGTTCATCTAGTCTCCATCATTCCAGAAATTTAGGAGTCCATGAAAGTTTGAAATTCTGTTTTCCATATTCACCTTTTGGTCAGGATACTTCTATGGAATCTTTGATCAAAATGTTCAGTAATGGAAGCTGGGCACCATCCAGTTCTTTAAGACTCTAGTTTATTACCAACTTCTCTTTCTGACTCTTTGGAAAAGGCCACCCCATTTTTCAGATGTCCTTGTATAATATTAATGTTTTTGGCATAAATTGTCCTTGTAGCCATGAGAGTATGAGTGGATCAGGTGATCTATGACTGCATGTGGTGATTGTCATAGAGTTCAGTGACCTCTTGACCTGTGCTATCTCTGTTCAGGTAATTCCAGTGGATGAATGGGGAGAACCTCAACTGTATGAGCCCACAAAGTGGGATGGCTGCTGGAAAGCTCCCATCTTGACAGCTTCTGCTCATTAATCTCACCAGGCCTTTTTGGATCTTTGTCTGGCAATGGGGGTTATGTAAGAAAAACAACTTTTGTTGTTTCTTAGTTGTAAGTATCTGAGGTATTAGTGAGCTGAAATGGACTGATATTGGCCATTTTGAATTGGACAGGCATGTGGTCTACTATTCCAGGAATGAGGAAGAGGAATGGTGTCATACTCATCTTAAAAAAAAGAACATTTCAAGATCTATCCGGAAGTACAATGCTGTCTGTAATAGGATAATATCCATACACCTAGAAGGAAAACCAATTAATACTTTAATATTCAAATATACAGACCACCTACTAAAGCCAAAGATGAAGAAATTGAAGATTTTTACCAATTTCTGCCATCTGAAATTGATTAACATGCAATCAAGATGTATTGATAATTACTGGTGGTTGGAATGTGAAATTTAGAAACAAAGAAGCTTTGGTAGTTGGAAAGTAACAGCCTTGGTGATAGAAATTATGCAGAGATCTCATGATAGAATTTTGCAAGACCAACAACTCACTCATTACAAATACCTTTTTTTTCAACAACATAACATAACATAACATAACATAACATAACAACAAAACAGTAACTTTACATGTGGACCTCACCAGATGGAATGCACAGGAATCAAATCAACATATTTGTGGAAAGAGATGGTAGAGAAGCTAAGTGTCATCAGTCAGAACAAGGCCATGGCTGCTTATGGAACATCAAGCTCACTGCTGTCAAGTCAATTCTGATTCATAGCGACCCCTCCTTGAATTTTCGAGTTGGAAACGGAAGAAGTGACAGAAGAAGATTGCCCTATCTTCCTTCTGAGGAGTGGCTGGTGGGTTTGAACCTTCAGTTTTCTGATTAGCAGTCAAATGCCTCAGGTACTATGCCACCAGAGCAAGTTTAAGTTGAAGCTGAAGAAAATTAATATAGGTCTACAGAGCAAAAATATGACCTTGAGTATATTCCACCTGAATTTAGAGACCATCTGAAGAGTAGCTTTGATGCATTAAATGCCAATGACTGAAGACCAGCCAAGTTGTGGGATGATGTCAAGGACATCGTGCATGAAGAAAGTTAAAGGTCATTAATAAGACGGGAAAGGAAGAAAAGACCAAAATGGTTGTCAGAAGAGACTCTGAAACTTACTCTTGTTTCCGAGGCATCGTGGCATTGTTGTATTTAGATCTCTGTTAACTGTTTGTGAAGAGCAGCCAAGGGTGATTCAGGCTATTCTTGGTGGTTTTTTATGGTTGGCCCATTGGTGGAGAAGGAGGTAGTGGCTCTTGCTCAGTAAGTGAAGTTGCAGGAGTTGTTGGTGTAGTTGTATCTTATGGGGACTGTTGTTGTCTCCCATTCAGTTAGACACAAATTACAATTGAATAACCATCAAAAAACTAAAAGCCCATGGATGAAAAACACACCATGTAATCACACAGGAACAGTAACCAAAAAAAG